TTCGCCGCTGCTGCTCTCGGGGTGCACAGTCACCCAGCCCTGCGCTTGTGTGGTCTTCCCGTTTACATCAACGTTTGGTTAGGAACTTGGAATCATCGCCCCTCTAAACTTTTGTAACTAGAAGACCTCTGAAACAGCTTTTAAAACCGCTGTGCAGTGTTCCACGCGTACTTCTGAATCTGCTTCTTTCCTGCCTTTTATCACAGAAGAGCCAAGGCCAAGTTCCCTCCTCTTCTGGTGTGCTCTGGCAGCTCTGAGGAGCTGGGTGTTCACATCATCACTCATAGCTGAAACACCCAAGATTAACAGAAGGCAGAGCAGCTCCATTTCCACGGCAGAATGTGTAGCATTACTCTGCAAGTCGTACCAATACTGTTCCCGAAACCTCAACTTACCAGAAGGGAACTGCACTTCAGGCTGGCATTCCACGGGTATCAGCTTTCCAACATCACTGATGTCCCGCAGCTGAAATGAGAAAGGCAAGGCCAAACAGCTCTGACAGGATTCTTTGGAGTCGTATTTCTTCTGCATTGTAAAGCACTAAATGTCACCAAGGATTCCTTATCTGCTCTCTTCCCATGCAAGCCCCTCCGAAACAGTATACTCACCCTGTATCAGGCGTGTGAAACAAAATCTACTTAAAAGTTTTCTGGTTTGCTGTTAGTTGCTGGTGAGAAAGGGCAGATGATTTTTCAACAGATGCTAAATATTCTAGATTCCCACAGCATTCCTAATTCACACTGGTTTCTTCCTCATTAGGTGCAGATGATGTTTGTGCAGTATGCCTCATACAGAAATGAAGATAAAGAAGGCAAACAGTGTTCTTCATGAAGCTGCTGGACTTTGGAAGGAGGCACCAGAAAAGCCTGTTTTATTGACAGCAAATACGAAACTGCATTCAGACGTTGTACTCAAAAAGCCTGCTTGTAGCTATGGTTAATAATTAACACACATGTGCATACAGTAGTCTTCAAGTGACCATTGCAGTTTAAAAGCCCCAAACAGCAAAACAGAGGGGGGGGGGAAAGACTAATTCAGGAACTTGATGTTTTCTGTCAGCTATACATAGGCCCAGTGATCAGTACATAATACAGTATTTTGTTCAGGCAGAATCAAGGCATGAGCAGTGGAAATTTAGTCTTACTTCCAGGTATGTGTCAGATTATTTGGTTTACACTGTGCTGGGTGTCTGTTTCCTTAACGAATGTTTAAAAACTTAATCTGGTAGTTCTCTAAACTTTTTCTGTTTTCTGAAGCTACTTTGGTAACAGTGTCCTTAAGGTGCTTGGTTAATGGTTCTAAAATGCTGTAAAGAGAAGTAATACTATTGACATATTTAATGTATTCCTACTTTTTTTTCAGTAGAACAGTGGAGAACATTGATGGCTAGCAGAAGAGCCTAGATCTGGAAACTAACAATGCTTACAAAATTACTCATTGTAATACTGATCATTTAGCATAATTACCATGACACAAACAGTTTTTAAACAATTCAGCAAATTGGAGAGGGCAGCAACAACATTATAGGGCTTCTTTTAAACATCTATTGTTTCCTTATCTAAACTTGGCTTTCCTTAACCTGAACTCCAAAAAAAGCTTGTAATTAATAATTGTTTCAAAAACTTTCTTATTGTTCATAGCTGTTTGTTCTATGCCTAGAGAAACAGCCTCCGCTGGCTATCTCCTTTGGTAGAGGTCATGAATCTTGTCTTTGTTCTACGGCTGCCGGCAGTACAATTTACATAAAAGACAATTTGGGACAGAGGGAGTTGTAACTCTGAACTTCTTATCTTTAAACAGGATTTTTGTTTTGGTTTTTTAAATCTCAGTAGTAAAGTGGACTGCAACATGTTTCATTGGTTACAATTCTAAATAGTGGTGTGCAGTAAATTTAAAATATCATCCCCTAAGGGGCCACAACATGATGCAGCTTGTCTCTAGCCTTTCCTTGCACTGCCAACGACATCAGCCGTTGGGCAAAAGTTAATCTCTTCCTGATAGCCTTTGCCTCTGCCCCTCCCATGCTTCCTTTTCTATTTTGAATGCTCTTCCAGGTATTTTGGCAAGCCTCTGCCTTCCTTCCCCGGACTCCCACACATTCCTGAGCTGGTTAGCACAATCATGGAGTTCAACCATTAACCAGAAGCTAAAAGTAATTGAACACGAAACTCCCTGTGAATACCTTTTCCCTTATTCGGCTACCACCTCTTCAGGACAGGTCTTTACCCCATTTACTGAAGCAGCTAAAAGACTTTGGGAATTTTAAGGAAACAAGACAGGATGATTTTATCACATGGAACAGTCTTGTAGGGAAGAATTAATGATAATGTTTCTTAAGAATTATCCCAAGTGGAAAGGAAAGTGAACCGACAAACACCAGACAAGCATTTATGCACGGAACTCATGTCAAACAAATGCAGCGGTTTGTGACCAATACAGACTGCAAGTAGTTGCTGTAAGTTTGACTACCTGAATCAATCAAGACTTCAGAAGAACTCGCTGGCACACAGGAAACAACTTAAGCCATGTTAGACACGCTAGGGCTTTCGGACTGTAGGCCCGAAGCAGAAAAATATAAACATCAGAGCAATTAGCTATTGGTGAAAACTCTGAGACACCTAAAAAAACTCAACACCCCCCACTTTCTCTGCCGAGTCAGCATCCAGTACAGCTACAAATGCCAATACTCCTCTTTCAAAAGTACTCTTTCTTCACTTCAGTGAAAAAACTTTCAGTGAAAGTTGCTCATCTTCAGATGGAGCAACTGTCTTGCAGGAAAAATGCTGTCAGTAATGTGATGGTTTGTATTGATACTAACTGTTCGCAGTATGTATCAAAGGATTTTCTTTTGGCTATTTCTTTTGGGAGAGGTGAAGCAAGAAACTATTTACATGATGTCAGGTGCTTATTCAAATAAGTTACAGAAGTAAAAAAATATTATGGAAGAGTTATTTGTCTTGGGGCAATAAGCAAAGTCTGACATGAGGCTCAGAGCTCGTCCTGTGCCTCCACTAAACGACCATGATGGCCGACAGAGCCCTTGCCTTTACTACAATTTCATGCAAGTATTAGAGCAGAAAAAATTAGTCATGTCCTATGATTCATTTTGTACACAGAGATAAAACTCATTCGAACTTGCTGATGCTCTTTATCTTCACCAGGTACATTAAATCCATTTGTTACTCAGGTACCTAAAACCAGGAAATTGTTTGCATAAATAGTAGTAGCATTATGGATGAAGTGAATATATTGTATGCAAATTACTTAAGAAAATAATTTTGGGGAAAGTCAATCAGAAAAATAATTACACAAACTATACATGATAGGCAACAGAAGAACCAGGAGGAAATATCCTTGATTCAAATATCAAGTCATTAACAGCTGTACAAATGTGTTTAAATAGCTATTTGAACTATTAGGAGATTGCGCTAAATACTATCATTTTCCATATGCTGTAAATTATTTTCAGTGTTCTAAATTCAAAACAGTAAAGAAATGTTCTATTTTTAGCTTTCCTTCGTTAAAAAAAAATCTTTTACTCTTGTACTCACATGAGTTAGTAGTCATCGCATTTACCTCATCCAGTAAAGCTGACATTTCAGATAATTGTCATATTTTTTATTTTGATTGAAAATCATGCAAAAAATGTGCACAATTAACAAAGATCTGCTTCCAGTGAAATGTTACTCTCTATTTAATGGTGGGAAATAGCAGGTAACAACAGTTATACTTTAAATGCAAATACTGGGCAACAATACTGTGTAGCTATTGTTTTTCAAAGACAAAATTAATCACATCTGTAATAATTCTAGCTGGCTAGAGAATCATGCCAAACTAACCACAAGCATCAAAGGAACCAAGAAGAAAAACAGTTTGCACTGAGTATCTTTTCATACATTGATAAAAAATTTATAAGAGCATGGTTTAACTGTTTCCTCAAGAATTAGTCAACAACTTTGTGCTTCTATTTTATAGGCAATTAAAAGCCACTGGCGGTAATAATACAACACTGCAAGTGTTTAAGTGTTCTTCTTGCAGTTCACAATTTCTTCTAAAGCTTTCTGGTTTAAAATCCCAAATATATAATTTATTGCATTCTCATTTTTTAACAGCCTGAAAAAGACAGCTTCATCAGCCTAAGTACCATACTCAATTCTAAGCAGGAAGAAGGCTAAAGTTTCTGCATCAGCGTGATACTAAGGGGAGCCTTGTTGTATCATGGTGAAAAAAGATAATCTAAGCACACTTAAGAAATGCAGCAGAGCAAAATTTGTGCAACATTTTGCTACAATGAGAAGATCTTAATTTTGCTCAACTAAAAAAACCACCCTCAATAAATTATGTATTTTTACTCTTTGAAGAACAGAAGTGAACAGAAAGAGAAATCCACAGTGACAGAATGAAGTGTTTGCAGAGATACTGCTGCGTAGCTTTAACATGACATACCAGCTTTTCCAGTTCCATAAGATGCTTACAGCTACACAGACCTCTAATAATTTAAAGTTTAGCTCAAAAAAAAATACTAATGTGAAACTAGAATTTAGTATTTGGAGAAAAGAGCAAGTGCTGCAATACTAAAACTGCTATTACATGCACTACACAAAATGAAAAGTTTCTACCTGACCTGTTTAATTTGACTGTGATGCATTACTCACTTACAATAGCCACAAATTTTAATACAATGCATTCACTGTACCACATCTTATGTCAATGCAATTCACAGGCATTTCTTGTTTTGGGTGAATGTCTCACCTAAAGAAGTTCAGCATCTGTGTGCTGGTTAGAAGTCACCAGGTGGGTCAGCCCTTAGATCCAGCCAAGACTACAGACAGTAAGAATTCATGACTTACTTCTGCAGTAAGAAAGAAGTGCAGTGACAGGAAGGGTAACCTCAACCACCTGTACTACGTGGACTCAGATTCAAGCAGTGACACAGAAACCCAAAGACAGAGCGCTAGAGAAAAATATATTATTTTCTTTTTTGTTGCACAACACAGTGATGCCAAGAAAAACAACAGAATTAAGCTCAGGTACTTCAGAAACCAAGGAAGGGCTTGGCTTGTGGTTAAAGTCCTTAAACTTCCATGAGGTAGAATATCATCAAGTATCTTCTTTTCCAGAATATATTAAGCAGGACAAATCCAATTTAGTTTTTAACGCTGTTGAAAATTCTTTTGCTAGTAGTTCATGAAGGGATACTCTGTCATGAGAATATACCCAATTCCGTCCAGTCCAGTCATAGCGCTTGGGCCCACTAGAAAACAAAACACACACTCTGTAAGTACAGATTATTCATGGCGAGCTGCTGGAAGCCTGTATTTATAATGTACCCCAAAGAGTGCTCAGGAAAAGGAACAGACAGTGTGGAGAAGGACTGGTGGGTAGTCAGGGGAAGTGGAGCAGAAAAGGCCAGATCTGCCAGGAACTGCTGAGCCTTCCAAGAGATAGATCTGAAAGATGGCAAGACATATCAATCACTTCCAGCAGACACAAGCTCCTTCCCTTCTTGCTTTTGGCACTGATTTCCCCAGTTTTCTCCCTTACCCCCTTCTTTGGTCACCCATGTAATTTTCTTGCACACAAATATTACAAGGGATATTTGTGTAACACTGAATTAATGCTTTTGATTAGTTCTTCCAGCAGTCATGTGCTGATATTCTAAGCACAGTAGAACACAGATCACCATTCTCTCTTTTTAGATGCAACAGAACTTAGCTGGGGAAACCAAATATATTGGCATGTGGGAGATTTATATTCAAAATGCTGTTTTCCTCTGTGCTATCATATGATTCTTGCCTTGATTTTTCAGACCTACATTAAGTATCAATACAGAAACTTGAACACTTTGGTTCCATCACAGACCTTTCTATCCACCCAATTCTCCACATCTGAAACAGGAGAATGACTGAAAGGCACCTTGCTACTGCTAACATTAGCTAGAGAAACTAAGAAAAAAGAAAGGAATGCAACAGTTGTTTGGCACACAAACCATCAGTCTTATCCTTGAACTCGTAGGACAAAATGCCTTGGAACTCAGACAATCCATGTACAAAGTCTGCTAGAAAACAGACTGTCCTGTATATACACAAGAACAATATGCAGGTTCTCTACAAACATAAACACTAATCTGAACCTTGAATATCCTGAATTACTCGCAATATTCAGGTGAAGAACTTTCCAACCACTAACCAAACTATGAGCAGTCACAAATGCAATCACAAATCAAAGTCACTTCTACTGAAATCTCACTTCCTGTACGTGAACTGGTAACTATTTTGAATTGAGATTAAGTGCTCCTGTTACTTTACCGGAGTCACTTCTTTGTCTTTGCAGCACAAGCTTATGTTTACATTGTCCTGCACCTAGACAATGACAGAATGGGATGAAGCCATTCATGAAAATCAGGCTAGGACAAGCCATTTAATCAACAAGGACAAACAAAAGAGATGTGTAAGTTATTTGAACTTTTAAATGTTTTAAATGTTACATAGTAAATATCAGTGACACAGTTAGCATATGAAACACCTCCATAGTTCTCAATCTCCAAAATGCTGTACAAATGTCATTTTTTTTTCATTTAAGTTAATAATTTAAGCAAGGATCTTGTGAATTCTATACAATGCCTACAAAGTTAAATATAGACTAAGTATATTTCTCATAGGGAATCTGCATACATTTTTAAACAGTAAAAGAGAAGAATTAAAATATCATATTAAGGTATTATTAAAAGATGCTGTGTAAGGTGGAAAACTCTTTTCAGTCAAAGGAGCTACAGGAAATTACTGCAATCACACTGCTGGCAGGTTGCACCCACACCCTCACCCTCTTTTTTAAAATTGTCAGCTAATTAAAGCTTTACAAACACAAGCTTAAGTTCACTTCAGTGTACAGATGCAAGATAGCAAAAAGAAGGTAAAAAAAATTCAGAAAATGTCTGTCTTGAATCTTAAGAATTTGTCTCCCTCACGTTATGTTCTTAAAGATTCAAGATTCTACATTTACTGTACGAATTTCTCAAGTATAACATTCAATGTAAGTCCTGGCAGTAATATTTGTTTCTTTCACTTCCTAGTATATTGCACTTAAGTATAACACTCCAGATCATACGGTATTCGCTGGAGTAGCATCATATTTCAGGAAATACCACTGTTTACGATAATGCCAGTAAAGGAAGCACAAAACATAGTGTTTGTAGGTGAATAATTTTTCGTCACAGGTGATGACAAATACCATCAGATAATTTTCAAGTTCATCTCATTCCTTGTGTTTATTCACTACCGGAACAATAAAAAAAAAAAAATTCAATATTCTGGAGCATGTATGTCTTAGCTTAACTAGAGTTGGCTCCAAACAGATTCTCTGAATTTTAGTTCTCATAAATAGATGAAACCTTTGTGTCAGTGACACACACAAAAAATTTATAGTCATCTTAAGCAGAATCAAATTTTGGAAATTATGCTTGTTGAAAACATATAGAATAAATAAATACTGACACACAGCCTGCATCTGTCTAAACAAAAAGGTTGATTAGCTCACTAAGCCTGTGCCTTAGCAAGTCATGTACCTGTTCAGGGAATTATTTAATTAATAAAAGGATTCTGGGATAGGAGAGAAGTTAGTAGAAAAGAAGTACTAACCTAGTATTCTGTGCACCAGCCAGTACAGAAGTACACTAAAGCAAAGTTAGAATTTTCTTTCGGTAAATTTTATGTCTTAAAATCTTAAATTCAATTTTGCTTCCCCCTACTGACATAAACCCTACTACAGAATTCTACTACTGCAAAACCATTCCCGGTTTTGCAATCAATACACTTTTTTTCTGAACAACATTCAAGAGGTATGCCTGCATAGTTACTGGGAGTGCTCATACTTTCCAGCTATCTGGTTCCTTCACTAGTAACCCTGACCAACTCCCTCAGTTCTTTCCTGAGGACAGTGGCAGAGAATACAATTTTTTGGGGGGGAGACAGTTACAATAGTTTCCCACTTATCTGGCTGCCCTCCCTGCTGAAACCAACCAGAAAACCTGGAATGGATCAAAACACAGCAATAGAGAGGGCAGAAGGAAGAGCTAGCCAAGGCTCTGGGTAAAGTGCAGATGCTTGACAAAAACAACCAGTGGGACAGCACATAAACATACAAAGCAGGAAATCCCACAAGCTTAAAGGGGAAGGAGCCACCCTGTTTAAATACAAAGAGAGGTTTAGATCATGGTGGTTGTTTTTTTTTAATCATGCCTGTTTATTTTTTCTATGGGTAGGCTATATTCCTGTAGACAGTGGTTTTGGACCAGAACAGTGTAGGAAAATTCTCTATTACACATTTCCTGGATTAATTTAGGTATGTCAGTATATTGCACTGTGCCTCAAACTTCTACAACAAATTATTATAGAACACTTATCATATCATGTTTTGAGAATATACTAAGTAAAACAGTTGCTTAGGAAAAGGATATTACATGACCATGTAATATGTGTAATATGTGTCGTGCTATAAAAAAAGGGGAAGTACACTTCCACCCAGACTGCAGACATTACATAACTAACTTACACATAACTTACCTAGTGGGTGAGGACAGCCAAATCTGCCGGTTTGGTGTCTGCTTATTGATTACATAGGTTCCCATGTCTCCACCTAATTTAACTGTTAGAACTCCACTCTTAAAACACAAAGAAAATGAGAAATTATAAATTTGCATCCTGTTACTTGACAAGAATTACATCATCTGCAGTAGATAAACAGAAACTTACATATCTGTATAACATTTCCAACTATTTCCCAAACAATAATAGCTTGGAAGAATGATCATTAGGTATCAAAAACTTGTGGTAATATCTAGGACAACCTGCATATCTTTGAGTCTGATCTAGACTTTAAACCTTCTGGTCAGAGTTTGATTTAGTGTGTTTGCACCATTCACAATGGCACTACTTAAATAATACTCTCGAGCTTTGACCTATCATCTTGAAATGACGGCTAATTCATTTTGCAATGATTAAAACATCATCCAATAACAACTTTTTCTATTCATGAACAATGCAGAACTGGTGTGGGTCAAAGTGAAGAAGCTTTATTTGTCATTGCTAGATTCCTGAGCCATGCAATTTTACCTAACTTTTCTTAAGTAACTGTAACAGTTTCCCAGTGAATAAACATGATTCTTTCTCCAATAATTCTGATAAAGTGCCTGTATCTTGAATCATACCTCAAAAATGTTCCACATCTAAACTTCATGAGGTCTGGTTTATTTTAGTTATGCCAGCTTTAGACCATTATCATAGTGAGCATTTATTTTCTCTTACTCACATTTCTTACTGACAACATGATTCACTTTTCTCTGATGTCTTCATAAGTGCATTTAAAAAGCATACCTAACTGTGACAAAAATATTTCTGTCCTAACTTTAAGAGTAAAACATCACCACTACTTGGACTAGAGTTAACCTACAGATAATATGAATTATGCTAATTAAAAAGGGTATCTCTACAGAATACAGTTTGATGATTCAGGTAATAGGTTGGTCATATTTAATCCAGTTTCATAGAATCATAGAATGGTTTGGGTTGGAAGACACCTTAAAGATCATCTAGTTCCAAGCCCCCTGCTGTGGGCAGGGACACCCTCAACTAGACCACGTTGCCCAAAGCCTCACCAAAGCACTCACTCTCAAATACTTCATGTCCTATTGCACAATAAAGGTTCTTTAAGGGACTCATACTTTTCTTGCTTTAGTCAGAAGACACTACGAGAATTACCAGCATTGCTAGGGCTATTTACTATGTATAAATACTTACTGTGGGGAAAAAAAATACCCTTTCATTTACAAGTACCTACTGCCTGCAAATTTACTCTGTAGCACAGGCAGCAGCTTGGAGCTTCCTTCCCCTACAAAGTATCTCAATGTTACTGGTTTCTGACTTATCTCAAGGATCAACAGCATTGAAATAGTACTCTCAAGGTCTGATTTTTTTTAACCTTAGTTTCCATGCTGGTTCTGTGCTTGATAAGGGATTTATATCTGTGACCAATAAAATAAAAATAAAAGGCTCCTCTGGTTAATATTGCCATCAGGTTGTCCTGCCAGCTATGTTAATTGGATATTGGTTTAGTGCAAACCAGAACAAGCTAGTTCTCTAGTTGTCAGAATTCAAACTTTCTGTATCTCTATCTCTCAGGGGTCTTAGATCTGTAGAGATACAGCAGAGTAAGAGCAGGTTGGGGGATTAGGCCGGAATAGCAATATAAAGGTTTCACTATTCTTCTATGTGGTCTTTAGTGCCATATTACGTGTTCTGCATGATGTTATGTTGTATGCTACAGAGACACTATAAGTAAATAGGTTTCTGAAGAGTTAACAAAAATTTTGTACTATTGCTTACATAGTGTCAGCTGTTGGAGTGTTGTTGCTCTGCACTGCAAATTAAAAGTAAACTTCTAATGCTGTGTTTAAAACATTTTGCCATACATTTTGCAATACTTTTGAAATACTAGAAAATATAACTTGAGTTTTTAAGGAATTAAAATATAAGATATTTTTACCATATTTTAAGGAATGTTACTGTATGTGTTTTGTACTACTGGATGAATGTTTGTTAGCTCCTGGTAACAAAAATATTCTTCGAAAGAGATTTTTTTTCCCTGGACATGAAGATATAAATTACATGAAGAAATCAAGTTCTGAACAATTCATAGGCGTAACAGACCTTTATCACGTTCGCCACCTTGTGGCTTACTATCGCACTAGCCTTGTTTCTTTGCAATTAACTTTGGCAAACTTGGGACTATTTAACCTTTCACTCTTAACAGAAATGACAACATATTATTATGTCACCATACCGTCTATGTAACGAAGGAGTACTGGTAAAAAATTAAGATGGATGCAAAAATAACTCCTTTTGAGCCTCACAGTGAGTCAAACACAATCCACTCTACAGTGGCTGGAGATAAAATTCCAACATAAGATGACTTATCACCTGCACATAATAAGAATACTAAAGAAGTAAATTATAATCTTTTTTGCTAATTTTTGTCCTAAGCTCTTTAAATCAGCCTAATAGGCACTGATATGCTAAAACATATTCAATAATAATAGTTAAACAATTCTTTGCTTTTCACCAGAAAAGCAATTAGCTATAACATTAACTACATAATTAAAGCCTTAAACAGTATTTGTTAAGGGCAACAACAGAATCCTACTAACAAGATGTTATTTTCTATCCTAGCTATAAGGAATAAAAAATGAACATTATGATGACAAAGTTATACAGAAATGAGTCCAAAAACTACAGGTGGTAGTTTTGGGGTTTTTTTGTTGTTGTTTTCACAGTGCAACCCAAAGCATCTATGTCCATGAGCATAAAACCTTAACTGAACGGGCTAGTAGAAAGCAACTTCCTTCTGGTAAGACATGAAGAGGGAGCAGCAGTTATGTGACCTCAGGAAAACACAGTAGTGAAAGACCTGTGTTGTAGACAGCAGTATAGGGAGAAACCGTGCTCTCCTCTATGTCATGTAGTGGGCTGTAATACACAAATCACTTCAGGAATTGTATATAGAATTGTGCTGGTTTTGACTCGGATAGAGTTGATTTTCTTCCTAGCAGCTGGTGCTGTGCTGTGTTTTGGATTTAGGGTGAGAATAATGTTGATAACACACTGATGTTTTAGTTGTTGCCAAGCAGTCAAAGCCTTTTCAACTTCTCATACTCCCCTGCCAATGAGAAGGTGAGGACTGCCCAAGAAGCTGGGAGGGGACACAGCCAAGGCAGCTGACCCTAACTGGCCAACTGGATATTCCATACTGTATGACGCCATGCTCTGTACATAGCTGGGTGGTGGGCCGGGAGGTGGAGCAGCTTGGAGTCTTGCTGAGCATTGACTTCAGGTGGTGAGAAATTGTGCTGTTTATTATTATCATCACAATCTTCCTTTTCTGTCCTATCAAACTGTCTCTACCTCAACCCATGAGTTTGTTGTTTTGTTTTCCTTTTTTGATTCTGTCCCGCATCCTGCCAGGAGGAGTGTGTATGAGCAAACGGCTGTGTGGTTGTTTTAGCTGTGGGCTGGGTCAAATCATGACAAAAACTAGTAAATTTCCAATACAAATAGAATGGACATTTTTAATCTGAATCTGTCACCCCTATACAAGAAGTTGAGTGGCTGACCTATTAAAGGCTCCAATTATCAGGCTGGCAGCAACCCAATGCCTCCCGTGACAGTACCCTTCTCCCAGTGTATGCTCTGGTCTCACTTTCGCAATCACCTATCCAAACATTGCATCCTCTTGTTGCTTCTTTCCACCACAGGCTGTCATCACTAAAGCCAGGACAAACATTATCTGGTCAAGACAAATACTGCTTCTCAGTATTCAGGGCAATCAAAGAAACTGCTCTACCAGTTACATATGATGTACATGTACTATGCCACGTAGGTCTGTCCTAGTATTCACTGGAAGGGAAGTGACTACTGATGTCAGAGGTCTGTGTGTTTAGAAAAACTTATAGACCACTGTGAAATTAGAAACCAGCTTCTGTCTCCTCTTGTGCTCATTTATTATTCTGTATTATGTCTTTCTCTATACAGTAAACATTTTAAGTCATCAAATCATACAACAGCATGTGTTACTTTTTACCAGAATAATTGCTCCAGTCAGTATAAACAGGCATATTTTAACAACAAGGCTGTAAAAACTCATTGTATCTTAAATTATTTAAAATTCTCCTCCAAAGAAAAAAAAAAAATCTACAATAATTACAGTGGTAATAGAATGTTTCAAACATACCCCTAAAGAGACATCATAATCTTCTGGGGTAAAAGGCTTATCTGTCAGGTCCTCAAAGAAATCTGCTAAGGAGTCCAGCGTTTCTTCAGCTAGTTTTTCGTAAGTGGTCTCATCTAAAGAGCTACAAATGACATACAGGCCCATAATTACGAGGAAAAACATGGAAGACAGTATTTTCCCCTATAATAAACACAGACCAAGGCCATGACCTTGGAGGAAACAGTGAGCATGTAATGATCATATAAAACAAGTAGTCATTTTTCTTAAGGTAATGTAGGTAACAATCCACCTTATAAATGGAGGTGGAATTTTAAAATTTTGGTAGTAGAGATCTTTTAACTGAGGACTATGTAGCTCTTTCCTTAGATATACTGACTCTTGTATACTAAGAGTAAATAGTTAGATTTCAAAATAAGGAATTTTCACAAAAGGACTTTGCACACAAATTACTTAGTTTTGAACTCCAGGAAGAGAGAAAAGCACCTCCTGTTCAGATGCACATTTGACTTCTCAACTGGAATTACCAATGTAGCCCGGTAATTAGACATTATTTAAAGTGTGCTTATGCACTAATAGATACAATTACCTTCTTCAAAGAGTCTCAAAGCACCCTCGTAGCCATTATGTAAGGCTTACAGCACTTGTGAGACTGCTTCTGTTATCCTCTTTAAATAAGTAGAAAGAGTTAGTGGGAACAAAGTCTAGTTCAATTTAATTAACCAAATGTAATTAAATCACATAACTTTTTCCATCCATATCAGTGTCAACTTTTAACTGAGCATTTAGGTGGGTATCTCTAGCTACAGACAATTCAGTGAAATCATTTCTGCTTTTGCTAATGGGTATGGCAATACAATTACTATGAACTATGGTGACTCAGTATCTTTCAGTTGATGATACAGAACATAATTTTTTTTTTAAAGTTTCTTGCTAGCCAGTTACTGAAATACACTCTATGCCATTTACGTGAGAGATACCACAGAAATACCTAGGGGTGTGGAGAACGGAAAGTGCTATGATTAGGCAGGATTCATGTACTGTTTCAGGGTGCAGTTCAGGTACTTAACCGTAAGAGCTGTTTTAGACATCTGCACAATCCTTCATTGGACCTCCAAGTGCTGCATCAGAAGGGGAGAAGTCTCTGACAGGTACTGCGTCACATCCTCTCAGTGCAAGCAGAAATTTTATGTACCCTGACATATGTGAAATGGTGCTAGACACCTATGTTTAGGTATATGAATTATTTCCTAAGTGACTTCCCAAATTCACTCAAAATGCTTTTTTACTAAAACTGCACTCTTCCTTTACATCATCATATCAACATTACACTAGTTTGATAGTCTTACCATGTCTAGAAATTTTAAAAGCAGAGACAATATTTTCATATGAATATCTCAAAACAAAGTTTACCTTGTGTCATTCAGAGTTCCTGCATTTCTTAAATTCATGAACTGAACAGTCTTGCTCTTCATCTCTGAAGCATATTGTAATTGCTGTTGAAAATAAGCATAAGTAAGGTTGAATTAAAAATTAAAACACGAAGAATTATAAATTATGTATCTGTCACATAAATTCAATAGATCCTTGAAGACCTTTCCACTCCCACAAGTAAAATATTCATATACTGTATCACAGAGCTAATATGGAAAGAATTATGCAGCTTTAGTCCTTGGATAATTGAGGCAATCTAGAATATCCTTGTCTTCTGAGACAAACTAAGGAAAAAAAAAAGGATTTTATTCACAGAATAGTGAACTATGGTCTACCACTGAATTACTGAACTTCAGATGAGTATCCACTATTCAGGTGCTTCACTAACAACAACTTGTATCCCTCTGTTAGAAGCCATGAATATATTCAACTGAAATACACAGAAACCTTGAATTCTCCTTACTTACAAAAGAGCTAACATCAAACTTCACATTCCAGACCTCTTCTGTAAGACAAGCCACTTCCTTTCTAATTTCTCTTATATTTAAAAAAAAAGCTTTAAAAAACAAATAAAAATTACAGAGAAGCTGTATCAACCTGCTGGCAATATAAGACAAGGCAGCAAAATGGGCAACCCTTTTGAGGGGAAGCAATACATCAACATGGATGAAAATAAAGTTGATCCCCTAGTCTAACATACTAGCAAAAGCACTTATGCTATCCACCAAGAAAAGAAAGATAGCATGTGTGCCATTTTCTTCTTAACCTGGGCTATGAAGGTCTATATTTCTATGTGAACAGTAAGACAGCATTCCTGATTGCTTTTTGTGCACTAGCACAAGGTTTTGAAAACTGAGTTGAAAAGCAAGTGACATTTAAAAAGGAACTATGACAGCCCTTCAAGTATACAGGAGAGCAAAACACAAAACCATCTCTCTCTCTGTATGGTTTAACATCTATCCTCAGGCATTACAGTCCAAAGCCAAGACATGGACATAAACAACAGAGAACAGCAAACTCCTTGTATCATCACAATGATACAGGTTGATGAAATACACACTGATGCCTGCATGTTTTTGACTATACCCTTTAGCATCTCTTTAATACACACTTAGGACCAAAAGCTACAAGACCATAAATATGTTCAGGTGCAGGTCTGATTGAGGCTGTAACTTCCATCAGTGTGCTCATACTCAAACTGTGACTTGAGGCCGCCAACAGGGTGCTAACATACAGTTCGTATCCTCCACATAACAAACCAGTGCTAAGGGTGGCCAGCACGGATCTTCTGCGATTGGAGAAGCGCAGCAAACAAGTAAACGGCTTTGGAGCACAGCAAAGTCCCTCTCCTACAGCGCAGCACAGCTGTACTTGCACGGGCTGGGAACCACGGACCCACCGGCCCAAGGCTTTGGCGCTCCTGTTCGGTGTAGGCAGCAGGCCGAGGCGCGCTCCGGCGCGGACAGCTGCTA